TTCATTCTTATGTCTGCTTTAGACATTTAAAATTGCCATAAACAAGAAGAAAAAATGATTACATTTATTTTCTTTGGAATATATTACTGTTGTCAGTGTCTTGTCATCTAAGTCACCTCTAAGTTTGAACAACCAATCTTTCAGCTCGTAATTATTTGCTCACCCAGGTGCTCAATGAAAAAGATATTACTAGTTCATGAACTAGCCTAGAAATATTTTAGAATTCTGTCTTTCTTAAGAATATTGTGTAATATAGAGGTTTTGGGGTTTTTTTAAAGAATAATGCATAATATGGTTTTAATGATTTAGAAAAGTAGCACTTCATTGGTTGGATTGGATGTTTATTAAATAAAAGGAGAGTAATAACTGAGAAGGAAAATAGTATGCCATAAAAAGTAATCACCAAAAACAAAATAGTCCCAAGTTGTTAGTGATGCAGTATAATCTGAGGAAACACGTGAATTACCGCAGAAGTATCTGTCACAGGTAATATTCTGGCAACAATGGGTAGAATTTGCTAACGCTGCAGGCTTTTGATATATATACTGCCTGAGATTTGTGCAATTTGGCCTATATATATTTTTGTTCTTATCTTTATTTATAAACAATCCTTCAAGACGTAGTAGGTTCAGAGAATGAGGTGCTTTCTGAGATTGGAGTAAATATGGGTGATTTGGTCTAGCTATTTTCTTTGGTCCATGAGTTTATAGTGTTTTATAATTCAGAATTCACCCAGAGCTGAGGATTCTCTGCCAATTCTAGCTCCTTGTTTTCACTCATAACCACTGTTACAAATGCAAAGCAAAACAGTGCACAAGGCACTGTTCCACAAGCTGAGAGGAGTAAGAAAGATAAACTCAATCGTATGCCAGTCATTCTGGTTCAAACTCCTGGTGGACTGCAATGCATTCTATAACATGATTTTAAACAACAGACCCTTGGCATAGGTAAAGTAAAAGCTTAATTGTGTCATGTGTACACAATGGAGAACACTATCCAACTGGAGTCAGTAACCTAAAAATCTGAAGTGTTTTGCCAAGTAGGCAATGTGGACATCTAACTCGTCTTGTGGGTAGGGAGACCATTAAATGATTTGCCTGACTCAGCATCACACAAGCTTCCCTGGCCTGCTTTAGAGGCACAGATGGCATGAGAATGGACAACGTAGAGCCTGAAATCTGGATAGCCTGAGCCTGTGAAGTGTAGATGTATGTTGTTTGTTGTTATGTACTGTCGAGTCGTCTGCACCTCACAGCGACCCTATGTATAACAACAGCCCTAAACCCTGCTCCATCCTGTGCCAATCTTATTGTCTCTGAAACACCTACTCCAATTACCCTAGTCACCAGATGGAATCTATACATCTGGTCTAGGATCTTCATCTCTTGTACTGTCCCTCCACCCTCCCAAGTATGACGTCTCTCTCCAAGGACTGGTCCCTTCTTGCAACATGTCCAAAGTATGTCAGATGAAGCTTCAGAATCCTTGCCTCCAAGGAGCAGCCTGGTTTCACCCTCTCTAGGACAAACCTGTTTCTTCTCTTAACATTCCATGGGATAGTCTATACTTTTCTCCAGCACCACAGCTCAAAGGCAACAATTCTCCTTCTATCCTCCCTAGGCATTCTCCAGCTTTCTGGTGCATAACAAAAAATTGCAAAGATTATAGCCTGTATCAGGTGCACCTTAGTCTCCAGACTAACATCATTATTCTTCAGTACTTTGAAGAGGTTGCTGACAGCAGACAGTAGATACATGAGTGGGACATAATTGGCACCTGGCTTTCAGAGGACAGTCATGAGGTTTGCATATTCTGAGTATGGTTAACAGGTTCAATTTGGGGAGATTTTATAAAGGCGGGGTTGCGGGGAGACAATATTATAAGACGGAAAGGAAGATTTGGTGAAAAAGTATAACGAAAAGGCAAAGTGAGTTTACCAAGTGTCTAGGCAGATCATAATGTCCTTTGTTGTATCTTAAGAGACTTTGGCTTGAGTGAATGCCCTTTTGAGCAGTCTGAGATCAAGAGCTATCTCCTGAGGAACTGTATTTCTTCATGAAGTTAGAACACATACAAAATGAAATGACATAGAATTGATAGAATGAGTCATGATAAAGAAGAGTCATAACCTTTCTGTCAGTTTGTGGCACTTAATTGGCTCACGTGTTGCTGTGATACTTGCAGCTACGCTTCTAGTATTTAAAATAGAAGCAGGCCATCCATCGTGGATCGCTTTCAGCCAATTTCTCAGACCAAGCAGAGGCCTGGTGATCTACTTTCGGAAATTTAGTCAGTGGAAACTCAAAGGGATCACAGAATGTTGTTGGAAAGATTGTCTCATTTACTTTGAATGTGTCAATTATCAATGCTTGATAAAGTGGTAATGCCAGTAAAGTTGAAGGGACCCCTCAGTGAAGTGGATTGACACACTGGGTACAATAATAGATTGAAACATGGCAATGGTCATAAATATTGTACAGAACTGGGCAGTGTTTTGTGATAAGTTAGAACTTACTCAGCTGAAACCAATAGCAGAAATGATGGAGATATATGTATACCTCCTTATGCCTCAACATGTCCACTGTAGGTTTTATTTTGTCAGTGTGGGCCTTGGGCTAAAGAAAAGGACAGGAAGAAGAAAGAGAGAATGATGCTTCCATGTACCACCTGGGTTCTGTGCAGAGCTTTTTATATAAACTCTCTCCTTCCACGTTAATGCCTTGTATTTCATTACCACCACCCTGCACATGAAGAAACAAAATTGAAGAGTTAAAGAAACTGCATCAGTATATAACACTGCTAAATGCCCAAAACAGATATCAAATCAATTTGGGGTTTTTTCTAAGAAAGAAAAAGTAACAAAACATCCTCTGAAAAGGAATAAACAATTAGCTCTTCAGGGGAAAGGCCAGGAAAAAGAGGCTGATTTAACGTTTGTGTTAAAGACTGAGGAGCAGTGAATCTCAGGTGGCATTTGGCAGCATCCGGTGGCTCTGAATAGCCACAGAGAGAGGAGCTCAGTCTTGTGCAGAGAAATACACCAAGCAATAAGTGACATTTAGCAGATATTTACATACTTCTTGTAGAAAGGTTATGTCAAAACCTGTTGCACGTCACATTCACAATTCCCTGTGCTTTAATATTGCAAGCTTTCATTGCCAACAAGATTTAGGGAATTTACTTTTATTTAGGTCAGATCAAGTAATCAGCATGTCTCAAAGGGATGGTTTGCTCTCACTGAAATCATAAGGGACCATAAATCACGTGACTTATTTTTACCTCTAATTTTATATCATCTGAATGTAAAATTTAATATTTTAGACCTATGAAATAATTGTTGAACATTTTATAGCACTTTTTGTGAGTCACACTTGGAAGCAAAAGAAACAGCAGTAGTGGAGAGGAGAGACTCAAAGTGATTGACAGACAGGTCTGGTAGTTTCCTCCTGACACACTGCTGATGACCTTGCTTGCCTTCCATGGGCTTACAGTGCTTCTCATGCCTCTCAAACCACCTGTTTGTCAGTGAGCCTTACTAAGTTACACATTTGGTCGGTACCCGAGAGGTCAGTAGTTCACATCCACCCACTACTCTGAGGGAGAAAGATGAAACAGTTTGCTTCTGGTAAGATTTATAGCCTTGGAAACCTAATGGAAGGCCACCAGGAGTCAGAATCAGCCTTATAGTAGTGGGTTTAGTTATGGTTTGTGATGTTGGACAGGTTTCAGAGGTGCTTTCTGACTAAGAGTAGGCTAGGAAGAAATGCCTGGTGGTCTGCTTTCACAAATCAGTCAGTGAGACCCTTTAGATCACAAGGGTCTGTCTGACCCATGATGCATCACGATGGCAGTAGTGTGAGGACAGGCAGTGGTTCCGTTCTGTTGTGTGTATGGAGTTACCATGAGTGAAGGACAGATGTGAGAACAGAAAACATTCTGATGTAATGCAACAAACAACAAATCTGTCTTATTTAGACATGTTTTTTTGAAAATTACTTTTCCCTTTGTCTAAATCCTTTGTGTCTACAGTGTTTAATTATTTTGGATCATTTTGTCGTGTAAATATATCTTAAAATACTCTCTACAGAACATTTTTTTCTCTTAAAAGTTATAGTTTTACTTATGTTCTCAGTTTTTGTATTACTTACTTGTAAAATTTAAAACATACAAACAAAAACCCAGTTATTGAGGGCAGTGGGCCCCATCATAAGAAGCCCTAACTTCCTGGGTGAGTTAAATTCTTGCGTCTATTCGTTATTGTTTGTGTAGCTTCCCAGCCTTTTTTATTTGCCAACTGTGACTTCTCATCAATATGAGTTTCTAGCATCTGGTTTAGACCAAGAAATGAGAGAACATAGCGTGTTTGAATACTTTTAAAACAATATGTTCAAAGCAAGGGATTGTCCTTTAAAAGGGCATCCTGACACCATTTTAAGTAACTTAACATACATTCCTTAAAATGTTAAGTAATTTAACATACATTTTTGGAAGCAGTAGGGGCATCTACTTCCTAAACAACATGCCTCTGGAAATTCTATGAACTTTGATAAACAATGATAGCTATAGAAAGGCTTCAGGGTTTTTGTTCATAGGGTCACTATTAGTCGTGCTTCAGGTCTTTTGTTCATAGGGTTGATATTGGTCTATGGCAATCAACAACAACATACATAACCTCTTCTCTCTCATTTCTAATTATCCTATCAGGGCCAGTAGTATTGGCAACATCTGGGAACTTGTTAGAAATTGAAATTCTAAGGATTTAGACCTAAAGTGACTGAATTGCATGTGTCAATTACCATATCAATGGAATACAGATCAGGGGTGGGGGGATGCCCCACCTTTCCCCTACAGAGCAGCTGGTAGATTCAAACCATGTGCCTTTGAGTCTGCAATGCAACACCTTCCCTACTAGGCCACCAGAGCTGCTTAAAGGAAATGTAAAGTATGTTCACAGTTCATTGTTACCCTCTCTTCATTGCTTTCTTTCCCTTTTCTTTCAGTGCCACCTTTTATCCAACCTTTTGAGTTTCCAAGATTCTCCATAGGACAGAGGGTCTTCATCCCGTGCGTCGTCGTCTCGGGGGACTTACCCATCACTATCACCTGGCAGAAGGACGGCCGGCCCATCCCAGCGAGCCTCGGAGTGACCATAGACAACATTGACTTCACGAGCTCCTTAAGGATTTCCAACCTCTCCCTGATGCACAATGGAAATTACACGTGCATCGCCCGGAACGAGGCAGCGGCGGTGGAGCACCAAAGTCAGCTCATTGTGAGAGGTGAGCATGAGGCTGGGCACCTGGGTGCCCATGAAGCCAAACTCAGCAGCCTCTCAGAAGGTGTGTTTGAAATGCTGTGACATTGACTAGGATTCAGTTTTTGTTATACTTGAGAAAAGGTTTGGGGAGAACCTCATGACTTTAAAATACCTTTGAACTCCAAGACAAGTTTTTATTTACTTTAAATAACTGTGCTAAGAAAAGGGTAAATAGATATAGAGACACTGTACAGTTAATTAATGAATTAGGACTTCCAAATTGTAACTCAGTTCTGAGAACCAAGATGTGTAAGCTCTTGCTACACTGCTTTTGTCTTCCAGGGCACACTTTTTGTAATACTTGTGATTATCATTTCAGGCCCTGGGTAGATCTAAAGGCTGGTAGAACTGACCAGACTCTTTCTTAAGTAATTGATGCCCATTGCCTTCTCGGTCCTTCACCTTATTCTTGTGGCACTTTCTCCTTTGCTGGCTGAAAATGAACGTACTGTGCATTTGTTGTTAATTGTCATCAAGTCAAGGATGACATGGAATCTAGGGTGCTTGGTCCCACACCATCCTCATAATCACTGTCATGCTTGAATCCAAGCCAACTTTCCAACATCAGGTGTTCACCAGCATCACCATATACTGGACAACATTCTGTTGTGGTCCTTATGGTTGTCATTTGCTAACTTTTGAGAGCAGATCAACAGGCCTTTCTTCGTGGTCTGTTTTCACCTGGAAACTTCTCTGAAACTTGTCCATTGTGAGTGGCATGGCACACAAGCCACCGCAATGCAAAGACTTGGTAGATGACAGTGAACACAGTTCATCTACCAGTCAACAAAATAAAACATGTCATATTTGACAGTGTGATATGCTGTTGTTGTTTTTAAGTGTCATTGAGTCAAGAGTGATAGGGATAGGGAAACCAATTTTGTATTCATGGAAAAATCTCTCCATAGTAAATCCTTCTTAGTTAGATAATAATTAAATTAGAAATATATCCAATTATAAATTGATGATCCAATAACCCTTTCCTGTTCTAGTTTGGACCTATGTTTTATATGTAAAACATATGTTTTGTATACAAGAATTTTCAAAAAATGAAATCATTTTCCATTTTTTGAAGATAAATAAAGACCATCTAATGTCTATTTCCCCAGTGTTTTCTTATAAGCAGATGTGACCCTTTTCATTTCTTGTGAAGGGCAAAGTGGTCCATCAGCCTGCTTCCTATATAATTCGTTTGGAAGGATCCAGGTCAGGAAACAGAAATGTTAGATAAACATGGACATGGGATGATCTTTATGTCACTTGTCCTTGCAGGAAAGGCAATCAGGCTTCCCCCACCCCCCTTCTGTTTTAACCAAGCCAACTGGCCAGATGCACTGAAATGGAGCCTAACCATTCAGAATAATGTGTTCGATAACTATCTCATTAATGGCTTCCTGTAGTGGTTCTGGAAAACTGTTAACTAAGATTCAGTGAAACGGACATTAAATGCCTGATTATAGTATAAGAGGAAGGAGGACTGGTGGCCTAGGCCACAGGGAGCTGTGCTGATAACTTAAAGGTGGCATCTCTCTGGCCTTTCAAATCCACCAGTGGCTTCTGGACAAAAGACTGGCTGTGTCCTTCTGTAGGGTCTATAGCCTCCAGGAACACGCTGGAGGGTTAGATAGATACATGGGCAGGTTCCAATGTGCCAGAAATGAGATGAAAATACAAACACATAAAGAAATATAAGATATGACCTATTGAAAATATTAAGCCTTTTATAATTAGGAGTTAGAAATAAGGCGGTTGTTGGTTCAGGGGTAGAATTCTCCCTTTTCATGGGGAGATTCAGGTCCAGTTCAATTCTAGAGTACAACCACCTCTTGCTTGTCAGTGGAGGATTTTGTGTTGCCATGATACTGGATAGATTTCATAAGCTTCTAGATTATATGAGCTAAGAAGGCCTGCTGATCTAATTCCAGAATAAGCCAGTTACAGCCCTGTGAAAACAATAGTCTGATCTGCACGTGACACATGAGGCTAACACAGGCCTGGACAGTATCTCATCTGTGTGTATGGGTTACCATGAGTTAGGGACCAATTCTAAGGCAGTGGTTATTATAAGAATTAGTTTCACCTCCCTACAAATTTGGGTTTCCTGATGAATATATCATAATTACTGGAAATGAATTAGCACATCACTTAACTGAACCAAACAATCTCCTTTATGGATGGATGAATGGATGATGAGTGGATGGATGGATAGAGAGAGAGAGAGAGAGAGAGAGAGAGAGAGAGAGAGAGATACATAGATAGATACATAGATAGATAGATAGATAGATACATAGATAGATAGATGATAGATATTCAGTGAAATTAGTTCAATTTATTCATTAACAATTCATTAAATATTAAGAACTTGTGAGAACTTTCAGGAAGAAAGAATTTCAGGAAAGAAGAGTGAAATAATTCTACGTATTCTCAGTGTTAAGTGGGAAGGAAATAAGTTAGAGCAAAAGCTATATACTAAATTGCAAAATATAACGAAGTATAAATAGATCATCACTTTTATTCTTTCAGAATTGGCTTGGTACTTTAAAAGGTAATTAGAAAAATAAATAATTACAATGTTTTAAAAACTTTTTGTTATTTAAATGAAATTCATGGTAAAATTATTGTTGTTGTTGTTGTTGTTGTGTGTCATTGAGTCATCTGCAACTCATAGCAACCCTATGTACAATAGCTCTGAACCCTGCCTCATGCTGAGCCAGTCTCACTGACTCTGACACACATACTCTCATTACCCCAGTTTGTGTCAATCCGTCTCATTTGAGGTCTTCCTCCTCTGTGCTGTCCGTCTATTCCTCCAATCATATTATACTTCTCTAAGGACTAGTCCTCCCTGGCCACATTCCCAAAGTATATGAGCTAGAGCTTCAAAAATCATTGCTTCCAAGGAGAAAACTTGATTTTACTCTATCCATGACAGACCTGTTTGTTCTTTTTACAGTATATTGTATATAAAATATTCTTCTCAAACACCACAACTCAAAGGCATTGATTATTCTTCTATAATCCTTATTCCTTGTCCAGCTATCTGTCCAGCAAGAAATTGCAAAGATCAGGGCCAGGATCAGGCGAAACTTGGTCTCTAGGCTAACACTATCATTATCATAGTCTTGAAATCTCGAGGAACTTTAAACAATTCTTGAAATCCAGACTGGAGCACCCAGAGATTTTCATTAAAAAATTTTAGAGATGGTGGAATCTATTTGTTCACCATCAATAATTTTAAAAAATCCTCATATGCTGATTTGAGTACTCTTGCCCTGGATAATCTGAATAACAATATCTATTTTAAAGAAGAGAAGCTTTTAGTTTAGATATAAAGGGAAGTAAGTGATAGGTGACTTGATCCAGGTCAGTGACAAGGACCTGATTTATCTTTTTAATCATCACCCTTTGCCACTATGTGAAGAACAGTCTAACAGGGAAAGGAATTACCTGGGAATTGGAGATAGTAGTTTAAAATCTATTTTAGAAGTCCAGGCTTGATAAAAGTGCCTTGGATTCTAGTGCTAGGGGTCAATAATAAGAAGCAGTTGGATTTGCAATATGTTTTGGGGTTGGTTGTTGTTGTTTATTGTGGTCAAGCTCAAGCACGACTCATTGTGACACTATGAACAAAAGGCCTGAAGCCTTTCTTAAGTTATTGTCATTTCTCTAAGTTCATAGTTTCCAGAGACATGTGGTTTAGAAAGTGGATTCCACTCTTGCTTCCAAACCTGTCTTAAACTGGGAGCTCAACCAAACACTGTCCACCAGGGGCAGCCATTATGATATTTTACCTCCCAGTGGCACAAGGTTCAGCATCACAGCAAACCCAGATTACCTCAGTGCAGCAAATTGACAGAGGAGCGCTATACAATTTAGAAGAATGTTCCTAAAAAATAATATAACAC